AAAAAGCTTGTAAATATTAAATGATGATTCAATTTACCGGTTCATAACCTTTTTATCGCATTGTGTTTTTATTTTTCTTTATAGTAATTTTACTAAGATATAATATTACGTATTTTTCACTAATAGTGTGACTAATAACACATGTAAAATATGACCTGGAGTGAATTTGCCAATTTTGTGAAATCATGATAAAATTAATAGTGGGTGTATTGAACACGTCTCTTCATTAGGAAAAAATACTGTTAAGTTGTTTTTTTTTCGTTTCTATGACAAACTAAAACATTATAATATTTTCAATTCGTATAAACAGAAAATTAACAGTGACGAGGTGTCAACATTCACAGGAAACCGTCTCGATAAAGTTATCGTTTGTGTCAACACAAAGCAATAACTCTTATATTTTATTGTTTATCAAAACCCGCCAAACTTGTTAATTGTTACTAAGTTCGATAATAAATACTACTTTACAAGATTATCTACAGAATGTTTAATTTTATTCGCTAGTTGATGGAGTGACGTCTGTAATGTTAAAAATATAGATACCTACGTAGACAAGAACATAGACACCGGAGATTTAAATTTTCCAACACAAACTAAATGGAGAATGATTCTGCAATTTCTGTTAACAAATTGTACCTAGTTTAAATTTGTTCTTATCTTGTTTTCTGTCTAAATGTTCAATGTTCTGTCCATTCTATAAATAATCTATTGAAGTTTAGTGTATGAGTTCATGTATTCATGTGTCAAGCAGTTGATTGTGGTGTCTAATAAAATATCTCATGGTGGTAGTTTTTCTGATGCTTAATCACCACGTTTCAACCGATTTTAAATATTGATTTAGAAATCAGGCTTTTCTGCTACAAATGTACGGAAAAAAATATTTCTGTAACTAATAATATAACAAGTATCGTTCCAGGTTCTCAGTGGTAAATGAAGAAATATTATTTAATTTTAATATAATTATCCAATGCAATTCCAGTTGAATGAAATAATATTTAGCATTAAGGTTGCAGAATTAAGCAACAAAAGCTGTGTAAGTAATTTGATACCGAACTAAACTTAAACCTCGCACGATTTCGCTGATTTACGCAACTAACTCAAATGGTACAGCGTAGGATTTCACTTAGGATACTGCGATTCCAGTCACGACTGACGTCTTTCGGCAACTTGTCAGTCAGCCGTTATCTATCCGATTATACCAATATAATGGTAAATGCATTCGTGTGACACGAGCCTTATAATTGGTTGATTATTGTCACTGCGTGTTTACTCATTAGGAGTAGAGACTTCAACGGCACCTCCACTGCTTTACAAACCCTGTTTTACGAACCCAGCAACATGTGAGATAAACATGTAAATGAAAAAGATTATAATTAGCAATTAATTAGCTACTGGTCATCTCCAAAGCGTAATCATCACTCATGATAGCATGTAAGCTATATCTAAAGAACGGAAATCAGTTAATGTATTTTAATGATACAACTAAAAGACTTGTTTATTTACCTTCGAAAAAGTAAGTTGAGTGACTTTTTTCCAGTGATAACGCTTTTAGGTGACGTGCCACCCAAACTCATTATCAATTGCGCCTCGGAACGCATTTAGGCGGGGTAACAGGTTAAAATAAACGTTGATTTAACATTTAAAGTTTTCTTCCAATCGGCCCGTTTGGTTGGCCACCAATAAATTCATTGATAAAAACCGAAACGCTAATAAGTTAAAAACGTTCAGACGGTAAATCGGCAATTCCGAGCGACGCGCACTGTCGATTGGAGTCATCGATTTTTGTGTCTTATCCCAAGAATGTCATTTCCGCTCTGATGTGGGAATTAGGAAAAACGCATGATATTGTCAAGTTTTACGTACTTCTATTGATGGCAGAACACAATGCGAAGGTGTTCTTAGAATACAGACAATTGGCGCGCATCACCTTAAAAGAAACTGTAGCGAGTCTTCGACGTATAAGTACTTTAAGACACACAGCAAACAATTACAACTAAAATCATTCTTAGCACGAAGCCTGTGCAACGTAAACAAAATTTATTACGATAATGTTTCAAGTTTGCTTTGTGCTTCGCATTTAACATTCATATCTTCAATATTTATTAACTTCAGCCGGTTAAAAAAAGATAAAGAAACCATTACGCGAATAGGGGTTAAACGCGCCGCGTAGACACAGGACTATTAGTATTGGCGTGAAATAATGAAAGCCATTTCACAGTATAACGTAACGTTGTACGTTCATTAAGGCGGGTGTCGATGGCCGAGCCGGCGGGTGCAAGTTGCATAAATCAGTCCCGGGAATGCAGCTCGGCGCCCTAATGCGCTTTCGGTGTCGGTTGATAGTCACCCCCCTCCCCTTCTTACCTGAAATCGCTCCTTTTCACACAATCATACCCCCCAATGATCTTATGGCCCTTTCCGATTAAAAATGCAATGATAATTGAGACGAACATAAACTGCGCACGAACAGTTACAAAAAAACGGCGCTTTCTGCGAATTTCAAAGTTACGCAAAGTGTGGTGCATGGAATGTTTTATGTTCTAGGTAAGTTGATGCACGGACCAGATAACAACTCAAAAGATACCAAAATGATGATTCACATCAATACTTAGCTCATACATTTAGAAGTGCATTTGTGTTCGTATAGGGCACACATTTAAGGCCTGGACGCGGGGCCATATCATTATATCATTTTAGATCGGAAACGCATGAGTAATCTGTTTGATGGTATCTTTTCCTACAAAACGTTGAAAGAACTTTAAAACAAAAGATTAATTTTGCCAGTAATCGTTGGTTCCCATCGTTACGCGATATAGCTTAATTAATTCAAATTTGTTGTCAACTGACCCGTAACGGTGCGTGGACATGGGCACATGTGCGCCGATTTGCTCCTGACCGCACCCGTCCACTTGTCAGATTACAATCATCAAAAATAATTAGGATCCTTTTCTCAAACTTGACATTTCTAACTCGAATGTTCACGAATTGAAAAAGGCAGTATAGGGTTGATAAAATTGAAATAAGTGTATTATAACATCATACCTGGTTATTTATCACAAATAGCAGATGTCGTTTAAATTATTGATTTGATTTAATTTCATCTTATCTATAAACGTTATCTTTGTCTGACGTAAAAGACTGCTAACAAAGGATGCAGAGGCCATAGGTACAATGACGTTTTATTAGTTCAAAAAATATTTTATTATGAAATGCCTTGCTGAAGTGGTATTATAAAGTTTACTTTTCAAAAACTCTCAAGCACAGCAGATTTCAGTAATTTTCCATACGACATTCTTATATCCGTATATAAAGCCATATATATGACCTAATAAAGGCAGAAACGCCTAATTGTATGTAAATCAGCAAGAAATAACGAGGTTCCGCATTATAAAATAAAATGTTGTTAAAAAGTACTGTTTTATGACAATATATTGAGTAGTAAATGTGACACTTCTCATTCGACGGCCAATCACTTGCCGTCGATTAAGAAACATATTCGATTCGTGCATTCAAATAAGTAAGACTCAAGTTTTAATACCCTTTTATTATTTCTCGGATTTTTTAAGTTTTTACTGCAAGTGAGGATATTTCGGGCACCCGTTAAAGATAACTGCTTTACCGATGTAAAATATTTCTACCAATTTTATTTGCTTTCCAAATATTACATTACTTAACATTTATTTCCCAAAGGGATAGGAAAAAAATACCCGCTAGGATATTCACTACGCAGCCACAACTTACACAAGCATATTTTAAATTGTTGCATCAAAAATATGATTGAGTAATATTTTTAGGGTAATATTAATATTACACAATATACATAGTCTTAAACAAATGGTGACCGGGAATAGTTTGCAAAATCTAACAACTACTGCTCTGTGACGAGATTTGAACGTTGAATCAGCCTGAAGGCAATTTTATTGGTGTCGTAAGAAACATGTTTATGACAAAGCCATTACGTTGCCGACTGATAATATCTACTGAAGTAACTTCGAACCATATTATTCAGTCTTCAATCTAGTCACACTTCCATTTTTATAAGCATCTATTGTACGGGTACTAAAACCAACACTTGTATCTGTTACACAGAATGAATTTATTTTAATAACAACTTTTATTTGTAACGAAGCTTTTACGCTTTATTTTATGACTACAGAAATTAACATGCATTCATTTCTTAATAGTGAAAATGATTATTTTATTAGTTTCTAAGGTTATAGTAGACATGTATTAAAGTGATTCACTTATAAGGTCTCTTTGGAATTTAAAAACAAAGTAATTTTAAATAAACGACGGATTGTAAATGGAGGGTGTAAAGTGGCCACACCCGCATGTCACAGGTTCAACATTTTATTCGTCTAAAGGTGAGGTACAATATCGTAATCGTAATGTGACGAGATCTTTTACGAGCGCTCGACCAGTTTCAGGTACTTTTTATTTCTCTCGCAAATAACGAAATTGCACTTAAAAGTTGTAACTGAAAATGGCTTTCGGGTTCGAAGGTGAAATTATTATTATTGGAGTTGAATTTCGTTCAATTTCCTAATAATTATTTCTTTAATTATCTGGAAGGTTCTCATTCAGAAACATGCGAACTTTTTAAAGATTATTGAATGAAACTAAAGTATCAGTAATACAAAATCATTACGAACCGATATTAAATTGCAGATGATAATAATGAAATGATACGTATAACAAACAAAGTCATGTTTCACGAACAGTTAATCTTTGGAAGGTTTCAGAACGAGTGTTCTGATATCGTTTGCGAGACGCGACTTATCGTAATTTAGAGCCCCCGATTAGACTGCGCCGGCCGACATACGCTAACGAGCATACATTTTTTATTTATTTTTGTTTTAACAACAGTACGGTGCCGATGTTTTGTCTCTACCGGCGATTGTGCCAAGTTAATTGGATTGTTCGTTTTGAATTGTTAACTGTACAACAACGCTAAAATCACTCCATACCACTATACAATCTGTCCAATTAATTATATTATTTTATTTCCAACTTACCTTAGTTGTTGTCGTTTTTAGAGGTGTCCCCGACGAGACTGCACATATTTCTACCTCGTATCGATCCACGCCAGCTTCTCGGTCCAGAGAAACTGCCGTTGATAATATTCCCAGAGACGAATCTATGTCAAACAACCTGTCCACTTGTCTACCATCACCAGTCACATTCACTATGTAATATTCTAAACCGGATTTATAGTTATTAGTCAAGTTTAACACAGCTGTACCCGCGGGTTCGTTTTCAGCCACAGATACCGACCCTACATTAGTCCAAGTGACACCCTGTAGCTCTGAACCCCCCATAATCACCGTGAGGTAGGCCTCAGTACTTTTTTGTTCACTCAAAACAGCCTCATCCGTGGCTTTTATGACCAAATTCCAACGTGCCTCTGGTGTCGCCGGAGGATAACGTAAAGTCAATGCCCCGTTACTTCTGTGCAGATCGAATAGATCATTGCCGCCGTGGATAAGCTTGTAAGTGACCAATCCATTTGTTCCTGAATCTAAGTCACGGGCTAATACGTTCATAATAAATATTCCACGGCCTGCGCTTCTTCCTAGTCTCTCCGTGTTGATCACGGCTGCATTCATGGATACGAAAACTGGAGCGTTGTCGTTAATATCTTCAACGATTACAGTAACTAATTTCTCAGCAGATAGCCGCGCTGATGGTGGCTCGGCTCTATCATACGCGACGACAGTTATTCTAAACGTGTCAATACTTTCTCTATCAATAGGCAATAAGGTATGTATGACCCCAGTGATGTTATTTATGGCAAAGTGCCGCTTGCTGTCATTAGGGTCTTGGTGCGTGATCGAATAATAAACTTTGCCGTTTAAGCCAGAATCTGGGTCTTCTGCGGTGACAGTCACTATTGGAGTGTGCTTCGGAATACCTTCTCTAATTTGTCGTACAATAGCTGTGTTGGTAAATATAGGTGCATTGTCATTTGCGTCGATTACATTTACAGTAAATAATATGCTAGATGATAAACTCGGGTTACCGTTATCCGTGGCAGTAATGTTCAATACATATGAAGTCAATTCTTCATAATCTAATTGCTTATGCAAAAACAATTCACCCGAATAGCTGTCAATAAAGAAGGCTTCCTTCCTGTTTCCGGACGTGATGAAAAACTGCAACTCCCGGTTTATACCCAAATCAGCATCGGTAGCGTGGAATTGAATTATTTTTTTATTTACTGGCTCTGTTTCAAGGACCGACACTTTCATTTGTGTCTGAGTAAACACTGGTGCGTTATCATTTTCATCTAACACATCTACTGTGATCGTCGTTGTGGCCGATAAACGAATAATCTGACCGGAATCATGAGCTAATATTGTAAGCTTGTAGTGATCCATTGTTTCACGATCTAAGGGTTTATTGATTAGTAACTGTCCCGTGGCTTCGTCTAAAGTGAATTTTCCAAAATCATCACCTCCAATCAGTTTATAGTAAATGTCACCATTCAAACCTTCATCTGCATCTGTGGAGTACACTCGCATTATAGAAGCTCCCACAGCGGCACCTTCAGATATCTCGACCTTATACGGAGTGCGTGTAAAGACAGGCGGGTTGTCATTGACATCTGTTATGTAAATCGTAACTCTTACGGAATCAGACAATTTAACTTTACCGTTATCACTAACAGTCACAGTTAATGTAATGTAGTTCTGGCCTGTCATTTGTGCCAAGCTTTCTCTATCAAATGATTTCAATGTTTTTATAAATCCATTCCTAGAATCAATCCTGAAATCATTTTGAGCAATGGGTAAAGAAAACGTCAACTCAGCATTACGTCCAATATCCCTGTCTGTAGCTGTTAGTTTTCCAACGAATGTATCAGGTGGCTCATTTTCCTTGATTTTGAATATAAACGTGGTATTCGTAAATTGTGGACTATTGTCATTTTCATCTAGAACATGAATAACGACTGGAACTTGTGATGATCTCGCTGGTTTACCATGGTCTGTCGCGATTATCGTCAATGAATAGTAATCACGTTCTTCTCTATCTAGTAAACTTTTAACATACAAATAACCATCAGGGAATACACCAAATTTGCCGTCAGTATTTCCTTCCGCGATGAAATATGAAATTCTACCACTAGGTCCCAGATCTGCATCTGATGCAGATATCGCAAAAAATCTTGTGTTTACTAAAGTTGATTCAAGCAAAGATGTTTCATAAGACGTGTGATCAAAAACTGGAGTATGATCATTGACGTCATCAACAACCACTGATATGGAGTGTTTTGCGGCTAGGGCTGGACTCCCGTTATCAGTAGCGGTCACCTCGATGAAAAGAACTGTGCCTGGTTCACTTGATATTGGCTTATTCAAATAAATAACTCCTGTGGTTTCTGAAATCCTAAAGTTATTTTCAGGATTATAACTGAGCGAATAAAATATCGTTCTATTCGAACCTGAATCGCGGTCTGTAGCTCTGGCAAAGTAAACTTCTTGCCCGACGGCCATGTTTTCAGGAATATGAATTTCATCCCTATCTTCGATAAATATTGGGTAGTTATCATTGACGTCTAAAACTGATATGTTGACAGTTGTAAAGCCGAAAGCAACCCCTGTCTTTGCCATCACTTTTAAGTGATATGTCATTTTATCTTCACGATCAATATTAGAATCTGTAGTTATCACACCCGTCTTTTCATCCATTTTAAAAACATGTTTTAAATCTCCTTCTAAGATGAAATACGATATTGTATCACTAGATATTCTAGCGCTGACTTTTCCCACAAAACGACCAATCTCTGGCTTTGAAGTGCCTTCATCTTCCAGAATCTTGAAAGTATACCCATTGTAACCATCAAATTGAAGATTTTTGCGTTGAGAGGTTTTTACTATTTCTACTATAGCATCCTCAAATGCTCGTCTATTTCCCTTATCTTTACACGATATTTTCAGTGTGTATACAGTTTCTGGAGCTTTCCGAAAATCTTTCTGTAATACTACATTCCCGGTCCAGGGTTCTACATCAAAATAGCCGTCTCCACCGCTTTCTAATCTAAACATAATTCTAGCATTTTCACCTTCATCTAAATCCAATGCTCGAACTTGTAGAACATTCGTCCCAACTGGCACATCTTCATTGATACTCTCGATGTATCTTTGAGGGTAAAACATTGGATCATTGTCATTAACATCAAGAACTTTCAGTAATATAGTAGCAGTAGATGATTGTGGAGGGAATCCTTGATCTTTTGCGAGTACTTGAATTTCGTATAGGGGTATCTTTTCTCTATCCAATTCGATCACTGTACTAAGCTGTCCTGTAATGGGATCCAGAATAAAAGTATTAGGATATTTCCTCTCTATGCTTGAAGGTAAATAATATGACACTGATCCATTAGTACCCTGATCGTAATCGGACGCAGTCAAAATTAGTATTTCCTTTATAGGTTTGATGTTTTCATGTAATGTTGCATTAATTTGCGGTTGTGAAAAGCACGGTGCTTCATCATTCTCATCTAAAATGGTTACCTTTAGTCTAGTGTATGCCCATTTAGGATTAGGTCCACCATCTCTTGCTGAAACATTCAGTTCAACGGTTCCTTGAATTTCGCGATCTAATATAGACTTTGTGGTAACCAATCCTGTCAAGTGATCAATAGTAAACCATTGCTGTTGATTACCATCGTAGAAATCGTAATATATTTCCGCATTAACTCCTGTATCTTCATCAGTAGCAGTAATACTAGCCACATATGACCCGGAAGGAGCGAGTTCTGTCAGGACCGTTGAATATTCTGATTTTTCAAATACAGGTTCGTGATCATTTACATCATTGACATGAATAACTAAGAATGAGGTAGCAGTTCGTGGAGGTGATCCTCTGTCAGTAGCAACAACGGTCAAATTATATTTACTAATTTCTTCCCTATCTAAAACACCGTTTACATGCACTATATACACACTGGATGAATTCTCTAAACGGAAATGGTTAAGTTCATTACCTGCAACTATGCTTATGCTAGTAATACCATTTAACCCTGCATCTAAATCAGTCACAGTTATGGCTGCCACAAGAGAACCATTTTTAGCATTTTCGTCAACAGTGGCAAAGTTAGCAGTAGGAGGAACATACGTGAAAGTTATTACAGGGTCATGATCATTGGCGTCAATTAGATTGACAGTGACGTAAGTCCGTGCATCTTGCCGCGGCACACCATGATCTTTCGCGATAACAGTAAGAACGCAAGTCATGTTACAAGTAGTGTTACTGCAATACTTAGGGCAATTTAACTTCTTTGTAGTTGTAATCACTCCAGACTCAGGATCCACTGCAAATTGTCTCTCCGTATCGGTCACTTCATAAGTAATTTTACTATTATCACCCAAATCACTATCCGTGGCTGTTACTTTCAAAACAGTAGTTCCCGGTGGTACACTCTCATTTAGAGACACTGAAAAGTCACTCTGATCGAATATTGGAGGATTATCGTTAACGTCTAAAATAGAAACGTTCACTTGTAGATACCCGTATTTTGGAGGATTTCCACCATCACGTGCTGATATGTTTAAGATATAAAAGTCGGTGGTTTCTCGATCTAACTTCCCCGTTGTCTCTAGATGTAAATAAGACGTCTGACCGCTTGGATTCACAGTTACGTTCAACCGAAACTTTCCTTCAGTATCACCATCAACTATTCTGTAATCATTGGTGATACCGTTTTCTCCTAAATCCATATCGGTGGCTGCATCGAGCAATAACTTTGTCCCAGCTGCAGCACTCTCAGAAAACGCAACCGCTATACTCGGTTCGGGGAACTCAGGATAATTGTCATTCACATCTGTCACCCGTAATCGCACTTCTATTGGATAAGTTGGTTGGCTAGATAGCACAACAAACGCATAACGGTCTACTGTTTCCCTATCGAGAACCAAGTTGGTCTTGATCTCACCAGACACCGGATCCAGGACAAATTCCTTGGGAGGCTCATTAAAACGGTAAGTGAAACCAGGTTTAGTGGGAATCCTGCCAACAACGGTGCCAACGGGCTGGTCTTCGGGCACTCGAAGGTCGACGCCAGTGTCGACGGCGCGGGACTGCATCTGCTCTGCGGCGGCGCTGACGCCCGCGCCCAGGAGCGCCGCCAGCGCGACCAGCGCCACGTGCCATCGCCCCATCCTCGTCATGACACCGACAAAAACATTGCAGGGTTGTTCTTCGTCAGGGAAAGTTGACGCGCGCCGGGAGCGCTCGCTGTGTCCCGTTCGCGCAGACTCGCGCACTCGCTCTCGTCAGGTATGCAGCATGGCCGCGACGACCTGCGCGCGCACGAATATCTCACGGAGAGTGCGACCCGCCGCGGTTGCGCCTACGCCGTCACATTCATTCGTAAACACGTGACAAAACACTATCTACGGTTGTCTCACACTTGTGTCTCAATGTGCACTGAACACGAATCTTATAACGATAGTCACCCGATAACACGCAACACACTTTGAAAGCACTTTTCAGTGATGTTTGTTGTTATGTTTAACAAGTAAAGAACGCGTTGTATGCGGCATGCGGGCGGCGTCGCAGTTCGCGCGGCACTGGCAGGCGGAGGCCTCCATGCCGGCCCGCGCCCCTCCCTCCGTCGCATCGAACCTCCCCCGCAGCTTTGAAAGCTCTCGACTGTAGCTGCGTGATGATGATGCCGAGATAATGGACGTCGAAGGATTCTACTATTTATTGTTCGATACGAGTCACTTTACCATTCCAAGAAAGCTTCGGGTGCACAGGTAGGTAAACATCTATAGTTATTTAGTACGAAAACTTGTTTGTAATCTTCTAAAACACAAGATATTTATTTATACAAATGCATTAAGCTGAAATCAGCTGTGAACATATTTTCAACTTATCTTAATGGATCTGACGAAAACCCAATGATATTATTAAATTATCTTGCTTTATTACGAGTAACATAAATCAAATAGTGGTTTTTAAGACCAAAATTACATCAACTATGTAATTTTATTAATTATCAATTGTCTCAATCATTTTTTTTATTCTTCACCTACTTTTGTAATAAGTTCCTGTAGTTTAACTTGCAAAATAATTTCCTTTTGTTTTTATTAATATAAATCCTAATATTTCAACAACATTGTTAATCAGAGCGATTGGAGGAGTCACATTATACATTAATAGTGCGTTGATGTCTATTGTATAGAGCTACGAGGTGCGTGCGAGTGCAAATCTTACAGCTATACTCGTAACAGTTCCATATCGCGTTGACATAATGCTTGTTTAATTGCTATAGTGTTTATTTAATTACCGTCTCAACTATTTATAGTGGTCGAAATCTTACACGGTGTATTTGTAAAACATTTGACTTTTAGATAGAAGCACTTCGCTGTAATTAAGTAATTAAGTTATTGCAGGAATGTATGTTGCATTCTTTGTATATTTATGTAAGTCCTATATTACAGTGTCAATGTATTAGATTCAATTCCCGGGTAGATTAAAGTGTTACTGAGATGTTTATTTTTTTTACAATAACACGATGAAAAGCGAGTCTTACGCCATTTTTTTACACTACCAATTGATCTGTACTTAAATCAAAGGTCTAATATTTACTGATTTATTAAATAATCCTAAAACTTATGCATCGTAGAATTATGTTTTTAAAGTGTAATTAATTTAAACAGTAAGTTACTAAATTGAAAAGACAAATAATTTAAATTAGACTAAAGAGTCATTCCTATTAAATGACTCTACAGGATTATTATTAACTTCCTTATTTTCTACTAGATTCTGCGAGTAGCTTTGCCTGTGCAAATAGAAAAGCAGCCTATATGTTATTCTAGATTTTCTTCCTCTATGCCAAATTATCATAACTTTTAATATTTATTTATTTATTTTAATTCGGGTAACCAACAGCTATATAACAAATAATAAAACTTCAGAATATGCTAATACAAAGCCAATTATAGGTTTCCACGCGTAGCTATAGTATATCTTTACAGAGGTTTTGCGAATGCAATGCACATATAAAAGTATAAAACATGGATAGTCATTCAAAAAATTTTAGGTTTAGTCGCCTACGCACCCTGGAACTGCTTGTGGTAAATGGATCAAGTCCTAAATCCTTGCACAATCTATTATAATCCCTACTCACTCGCACAATATAGGAATTTTGTCTATAATTTGAGGAAGAAGACATATGACAAGAACAATCTGATACCTTCAGTAGTTTTTACACATATATGCCATAGCAAAGTATATTCAATTCCCTTAAATGAACACAATTACCCTAGTTATATAACCGATTAAATTTAAATATTTGAGGAAACATATTATTTTATTTCAAAAGTATTCTACGCATACTTTTGTGGTAATGTACGAACTCTCATTAAAAGTTCTTTGACGTTGATAAAAGCCATCTATCGGCCAATGATAGAAACTCATACTTTTCGGTCTCATCGTGAGCTTTCTCGCTCTTTGCTAAAGTGCCTAGTACAGTACCGTGAGCTTACACGGAATGATTGAAGATTTACGACAGATGGCGCTGGTGTGATATTTAAATTGTTTGTCATGAAGTATTGAATAAACGTTAAAATACTCAGTTCAAAGCGGTCAACAAAACACAAACTTTAAAAGACTCCCCAACCCCAATAACTTATACAAGAAAGAGAGCTTTAGAAATTTCGCGAAATTCGTTTCATAGATGGCGACACTGTCACAAATTGGTAACAATGACTTAAAAACAATAACTTTCAATATTTTTCTAATATAAGGGACACAATAATTATGAACTGTAATGATTTTTGAGTAACAATTTTATATGTCATTATCAATACATATAGAATAGCTACATAACTATTCTATATGTATTCATATTAAAGCAGTTCGATGTAGTGGGATGAGTTTAAGAGGGAAGAGGTTCCGGGCCTCCTCGGAGTGATAAATAATTGCGTCTACATGTAACGATCGACTGAAGTCTATTTTTAGACTGCATGAACTCAATATTCTTGAAAGTTCGGCGTGATCTGAGGACTGAATTTCCATAGACCTATTTTTGGATGCTTCTAGAATTTTCTTCAGATTATGAATTCACGTGATTATTATAACGTATTGTACATTGCCTACTTTTATCTCAAACAACTATATTCTTGTTTAGAATGAAATAGATAGCATATCATTGTCTGAATCACAGTACGTATGTATATACTAATTAGACCGTAAAATACAGAGGCCAACAACAAAATAAAAAAGTATCAGTTTGATTTTATCTGAACTTCACAATAGCGTTATAATATATACAATAATATTAAGGAAATAATCGTATCAATTATTCTGGGAAATATGTTTTTCTTCTTACCATATAATGCATGTATTGAAATATTTTCATTACAATAGATAACTCAACATATAAAATGACATAGTCATGTACTGTATCAAAGAGACGTAGGTCCACGATCCCATTAATCTATATTTGGCACGACTTCTAGACTAATTTTATAAGAATGTCTTCTACCATTTCAGGCCGCTCTGTAATGAAATCTCACGAGACGACATTCACATTACCGACTACTGAAACTATGTATATGTATGTATATATCAGGTCCCACTCATTCATAATGCGAGACCACTAGTCATATACATATGTATATTCAACATTATAACATTATGTACTCAAAACGTACTTAAGGTCACAAAGGAAGCCGAACCTTTTTCGGCAGTCTAAAAATAACCATGTCTTATACCTAGGTAAGGTACCTATCTATCGGCACTTGTTGCATGAAGGTTTGACGTCACACCCCCTCCCTTTGTGCGCTAATGCCAGGGGGAACCGCGCCTCCTAGGGGGGGATCCTGCTGACGTAAGCACTTACATTCATGAATGGATTGAAACCCAAGCCCGCCATGGCTTGATTAGTACCCATACGCAAGTTGTATTGATCATAGTACAGACATGATTAGGTTGACTTTCAAGTAGGTTTTTGTGACCAGAATATTAATTATTAAGTGTTATGTATGTCATAAAATCGTTTTACTGATAGCAATTTCAGTGATAACACAATTTGTTCCCAGATAATTTATGACGCACAAATAAATTGACAATGAATTTAGTAACTGGAACACGTAGTCTTTACGCGAAAAATTCCTGAGGCACTCTTATCCATCTCAACCTGAAATTTAGGTTTTAGGTAAAGGCTCGCTCGTTTTGATTTCTTTATCATTACTATTTTCAAATGGTATAGACAGAATTAGAATTTTATACATAATGGGGGAATTAGATAACAAGAACCATACTGAAATATTTTATTTTCAACACACCATAGATTGAAAGGAGATTGAAACTGCAAGAGCAGATAATTTCCTATAAGTCCTCGATATAATACAGGCTGTACGTAGCTACCGTCCCGTGCTAGTTTAAAAGTAGATCAAGGAAACGACCCGGCTGCACTATATCACTATAGCACTGTAGATAAGCAGTGGCTGTGGTTATAGGCTGAACAGTGAACAACTACCTATCACTATGTAGTGCAGGTTTATCGATTTATGACTTACTTCGGTTCTTGCTCCAGTTACCTTTCAAAACCACAAATGCATAACGTTTTAAACTATTGATATGACCTGATAACGTTTGTGGGTAAATTATCTGGTTATATGATTGCTTAGTTATATTTTCATGATGATACGTATCTAATATTTTGCCAAAATGATGAGTTTTTGGCAAAGTTAAATTGAAATTTTGTAATTGATATATACTGTTAGGTTAAAAATCTGATTTAAAATTAGTAAACTAACATGATAATGATAATAATTATATTTTTTGCTATATTGCTCACACTGTCAGCTATCATTTCAGAGATTCTTCTAAACATAGGAAAGAACACGTAAACAATGATAGTCTTTGGTCTTTATAGTGCAAAATCCATTAAACTCCCATTCTTTGGAATTAGTAATTTAACTACTTGCTACATCTATGTGACAAAAAATTGTCCATGTGCGACAGAAATAGAACTACATCACAATATATGTGTAGATAAATGCACACACTTTAATCTTTACACAAAATTTTACAGAAAGGATGTCTATGTGTACATACATTGAAGATAAGGCTTTGTCTTTTCAATTTTTATAGTGGGTTCTTTATATTTAATTTAATCTCCATCCTCCTATTCTATATTAATGGCACTCGTTAA